GCGGCCGGCTGTGCCCATCCATCCCTCAGGATCCCGCTAAATCCGACACGTCCCTCCTGGCATTGCTCAGGCCCCCTGTCCCCTCAGCGACTTGGACACCTCATCCCCTCAGGTCCTGTTAAATCCGCAGGACCTGGCTGGTTCTCCCTGTCCCCTCAGGCACCATTAATCCACCCTGACCCATCCCCTAAGGATCCCGCCGAATCCCCCCCACCCGCCCTCTGAGGGTCCCGCTAAATCCTTTTATTCCCTCAGTGCTCTCAGGGTTCTCCCATTCCCTCAGCACCCAGCCGGGTGATCCCAGCCCTTCTGGATCCCACTAAGTCCTCACATCCCCTCAATGTCTGCCTGGGTACCCTGTCCCCTCTGATCCCATAAATCCTCTCATCCCCTTCAGTGCCTGGTTGTGTTCCCCCATCCCCTCAGATCCCACTAAATTCCCCCTTCCCCATAGCACCCGATTGGGTCCCCCATCTCCTCAGATTCCATTAAATCCCTAATCCCTCTTGGTGCCCCAGGACCTATCTCCTGTTGCAACGGGAAGAGCTCAGGGAATTTTGTCAGGGCTGCCTTGAGACCTTTGGCCAGGCACCATGTTCTACGTCCATTTGCTCATCAACAAGCGGGGGCCTCTGGCCAAAATCTGGCTGGCTGCCCACTGGGAGAAGAAGCTCACCAAGGCACATATCTTTGAGTGCAATTTAGAGGCCACCATACAACAAATCGTCTCCCCAAAGGTAGGCTGTGGCATGAGGAGGGATCTCCTGGAGAGTCCTGGGGTGGAGGTGTTGGTCTCTTGTAGAGGACTCTGTTACTTCTGTGTAGTATTTTAATTTTGCCAAACACACAAACTCCTGAACAACTTTTTTCTTAAATTTAAATCCTCACAGTTTTCTATAGCTCTGCGAACCTCTGGACACTTACTCCTGGGGGTGGTGCGGATTTACAATAGGAAAGCAAAGTACCTCTTGGGAGACTGCAGTGAAGCTCTGACCAAGATGAAGACAGCCTTTCGTCCAGGTATACACAAAATTCAGTGTTTTTTCATCTGTGTCCTGTACCACTCTCATTTTACAAGTTAATTTTTAGATATTTCTGTTAAATACACATTACTGACCCCAAAGTAAACCGAACATGCTAGCACCTACTGCTGGTGTTTAGTCTGGCTTAATTTAGTGCTATTTCAGGTCTTTTACTCCCTTAACAGAAGCAGTATCTTAAGTGGGCTTACATGAAGATGCTTGAGTTCAGCCTCCATTGCTAGATAATTAATTTTAATTTCTGATGACACCAACAACATGTCTAACAGTGTCAGTGCCAGACCTGACAGTGTGTTTTGAGCTCTAGCCATGTGGACAGGGAGAAGGGAGCTGAGATGACTGGAGCCTTTTCCAACAGACTGTGTTTGTTATACTTAGGCAATAAATGGGAGGCACTGTTGTCTAAAAAAAAGCCTGAGAACACCAATGTCTACTGCCAGTTTTAATGTGCTTTGTGACCTGGCCTGTTTGCAAAATAGTGAATAATTACTCTGCATTATTCTCAAGGATATGATCACAGAATTATAGAATCACAGAACCATTTAGGCTGGAAAATCCCTCCAAAACCCAGTCCAACTGTTCACCCAGCACTGCCAAGGCCACCACTAAGCCATGTCCCCAAATACCACGTCTTTCAAATCCCTCCAGGGTGACTCCAGCATTACCCTAGGCAGCCTGTGCCAGGGCTTGAAAACCGTTTTAGCGAAGAAATTTTCCTTAATATGCAACTGAAATCTGCCAGCCACAACTGGTGGCTATTTTGGAGATAGATCCTATAGCAACTTGGAGAGCACCACACAGCTCAAGAGGACACAACAGTCACCACTGCTGCAACAGAGACTTTACCTAGACAGAAGGGGGGAGAATAATCTCAGAAGTGGTAAAATGCTGAAAGAGGCTTTTCAGGGATGCTGTGAAATCTTCATCAACAGAAATAGTCAAAAGTGATCTGACTTTGAAATTAACCCTGTTCTGAACAAATCGTTGGGTTGGATGACCTTGAGAAGTCCCTCCTCATGTGAAATTTTCCAGGACCCTCTGATACCCAAGTAATTGGCAATCTGAGTACATAATTATTTGATGCTGGAGAACAGTATTATGGAGACAGAGCAGAGGAAAGGAAAACACAGTGGTTCATTTGCAGTGTTGTGAAATACTCTGGCTGGAGTCTCCCAGTCTCAGCTGGGACAACCTTCCAGGGACTTAAAGCAGCTGTTCACCAGCACAAGTACTTAAATATTTCAGGTCCTGTTGCAGCAGACCCTTTTGTATGTATCTGTAAGAAATAGATTATCTTAAGGACATGGAAACTGAAATTCCACTTTTGGGTGCCTAAGCTTTACCTTTCTGTGATTTAGAATGGCAGCAGCCCCTCCTGACAGGTTTATAGGCTTATTATACCTACTCGGGAGAGAACACTACTTTTATTTTATTGATACTTATTTTGTTATGTTGTCTGTTTATTTCAGGGCTTCTTGACCTTCCAGAAGAGAACTTTGAGGCTGCTTATCAGTCCATTACATTACCTGAAGAATTTCATGATTTTGAAGCACAACTACCAGATGTAAAGTAAATGCTTCCCCAGTTTTTATTCATTCTTTTAGAATTTTCAGAAGTAAAAGCTATACTTGGTGTTATCTGATCAGGTTCAGGTTGGGTTGTTTCGATTTAATAACTGAATTCTCCTAAATTCTGAGCTTTACAAGGCTACAGCCACAGGTGTTGTGCTTTGGTAGTTTTCCTCAGTCCTTTAATCAACAGACCTTCACAATGGAATAATGTCTTGAACTTAGACTTCAGGATTTTAAATTGTCTGAGTGAAGGATACAAACAGCTTTCTGAACCTCAAGAGAAGAGATAAAAATTAGTATTAATCCTGAAAGATGTGGCCAGTAACCCACACAGTGTTGCACTGTTCCACTGGGTAACTTCATTTTGTTTCTGCTCCACTGCTCTCTGGGGCTGGGGTGTTTTATCAGCAATAGTCAGCCTAGCTCCTGAGAAAAAGCCAGCATATTTCTTAGGCTTTTTTGGCACAAAGCAGCATTAATGTAGGAAACTGATAAAAACCAGGAGGCTAAGTCATGTTTCTGATGGCTCTGATGCCCCAAAAGTCCAGGACAAGAGATTTCCACTGAGGGTTGCTCTGTTCCTCCTCATAAATATGGTTTGATGGGATCATGATGGGATTATTATTTTGTAAGTATATATGCAATATAATACACTTTATTCAAGTGCCTCAGTGTGCTAACTCTGTAAAGGTGCCTTTTCTGCCTGCCCAAAGAGTTGTGTAATTCGATTTAAAAGATGTTTTGCTAATGAGTTGCCTTCTGATGAGGGTCTGGTAGGTACCGGAGTGGAAAAATATGGGGGCTTGTGATAAAATGTCAGGATTTAAGGCTGTGTAGAAACAAGTTTTGACATTCCAGCCGAATGCTCAATGAGTTTCAGTTCACTCTATATTTTTATATTTTTTTCATCAGAGCTATTGATGTTGCTGAACATTTTACCTTGAATCAGAGCAGAGCTGAAGAAATCACACTTACAGAGGATTATGAAAGCAGTATACTTCTCTGTGATAGAAACTTTGGTGAGAGAAGCTGAAAATTGGAAGTATTTCATAAGGGGAAGTGTGTTTTATGTGAGCCATTTCCACATGTGAAAAACCTGTGATTAAAGGTCCATTTGTCTCATGCTTTTGCTGATTGGCCTATCACACTGTCTTAGGTTTAAAATTTTGTGTAAGCAATATCATTTGGTGTCAGAGACTGAGAACCAAATCAAACATTTCCTGCTTTTCCTAGATAACATTGTTTAGTCTTTATTCCATTTGAGGTATGCGATGTCTTGCAGTCTTTTAAAAATTACTTGGAAAATTAGGAAATTGATACATTGGGGTTTACAAAACCCACACAGATGAGGGATCAGGAATTGTGTGTTCCCTCAGATGAAGAAGCAGAAGCGCTGAGGAGACAGAGCCTCTTTGACGGCAGTGCCCTGACGAGCAGTAACAGTCTGGTGGCCGATCCCAACTCAGCCAGCACCAGCCGAGACAAATCTGTGCTGCACGAAGATGTTCTGCACGAAGATGTTTACTCCTTCCAGGATGACCATTTTGGGGATGAGGAGGATGCTGCAGATATGATTGGTAGGGTTTGCCAAAGGCAAACAGAATCAGTTCCTTTCCAAATATTTTTATTCTTACAGGAAAAGAGTCAAGATAGCACCAAAGCGATTGTTGTCAAACAGATTCTGTGCTATTTGTTGTTTTCATTAATATTTTTTGCTACCTGTCACTAAGTCTATGATTACTTAGACACTGCCAAGTCAAATTGGTTTAAAGGCTGTATTTCATTATTTTAGAATTATAGGCATTACATTTATGCTTAATGTGTAACAATTTAATTTCTATTTTCACAGGTGAAATAGTGCAGTATTTTTATCCTTTCTGTTGTAATAACAAAGGCAGCAAAGTAGTTTCTACATCATTATGGCTTCGAGCATTTATGTAAACCTTACAGATTGATACCTGTTAACATTATCAAGGCCATATTAAAAAAAAAAAGAAGGTAAAAAGGTGGAAATCTCAAACATGGGACTAATCCCCTCTTTTGTGTGCTGCTGCAGACAGCCGTACCACTTATGGCCATCTGCGGAAGCTGAGCTTGCTTTCTTTGCAGAGTATTAACCTGGACTAACATTAGGCTGTATCAGGCTATTTCATGACTACTAAGGCTTAGAATGATTAAAATTATGTGCTTTGTATTTAAGAAATCCTGCTGAGGGATGAGCAAAATGTCCTAGATAAAGACATTCTTGATGTGGAGGAAGCACATCCTTTGTCACAAGATCTGCCAGAGAACAGCACAGCCAGTGAGTCTGCAGTGTCTGCTCCATCTCACATAAACCCTCTGTTCCTGTGTTAATGCCTAATGTCACTCACATTCAGCTTTTTGTAGTATCCTTGTGCCTTTTTCCTTTCTTCATTTATTTTTCCTTTTTTTTCCCCCTAAACTGCTTCATCCACCATTTTAGGATAATTTTATTTGATTTAAGGATTCCAGATTTGTGATTTGATATTTCTTAGAAACACCTTCATGTGACATCCTGTTGGATATGCTGTTGGTCCACCCTGCTGCTCGCAGCATGACGTCCCTTTTGAGGGGGAAAGAAACCTAAATAAGGCTGTCCTGTAACAGTGAACTTTCCTAGTAAGAGCTTAAAAGGCCTTTTCTAACAGAAACAATTCTGTGCTTCTATTTCTGGCTTCATATTTCTGCACCAAATGACACTTAAGTAGCTCATAAAGGTGTTGTTAATCTTCTTTTGGTTTGATGCTGATAAAAGAAATTAAACTTTGATAACTATTTCTGAGAAAATTTTGCTCTCTTAATTTTTGCTATCCTTACTTCCCCATCAGAGTGTTAGTTTAAAACAGAGAATTCTGGAACAGCTTTAAAGGGATAGAATGGCTCTTGCCTCCCTTTGCTCTATTGCTGGTGCTACTTGTTCCTTTTCTGTTGACAGAGATGTCCACACTGCCATGAACTTGCCTGGAACTGGAAACAGACAGGGATTGAAACTAAACACCTTTGCCCCTAAACACTTTCTGTTGTGTGGGTTTTCTCCAGATCAGTTCTTCTTCTGTCTCTGCTGCAGCCTGGTCGTTCTGGGATCAGTGAAGGGAAGTGTAGAGTATGAGAGTATGAGATGGAACTGGTGAACATAAATGAGATTATAAACAAAACCACAGGTTCTTATTTCTTACTGGTTTTGTCTGGTAGCATTCTCTGTTGTGTGATTGAGAAATTAGTCCATATTGTAATTTTTTTTAAAATTTGGATTATTTGCTGGGTTTTCTTGCAGTTGAGTCCAACTGTGCAGACACCACTGTTAAGGATGTAAATCACACAATGAATGAGACAATGCTTTTGCTCCAGGAAGAAGGATTTGTTCTTGAGCCAGTTGATGATACAGGTCAGAAGTTGATCAGTTTCTGATGAATGTTTGCATTAACTAGGTTTGGTTTGCTTCTCAATAGTGAAAATACTTGCAATATATATTATTTCCACCTTAGATTTCATCTGCTCCTGCTGTCAGAGTTCCTTTTTACAGTAAATATTATACAAATCCAGTGCCAGGTTATTTATCTCAGCTGCCCGAATTTCTGCTTGCAGTTTCTTCCACGTACGAAGTCAAGTTTTGTTGCTTTTCAGCTCTGGTAGCATTGCAAGCTTGGCCTCGAGGGTGGTACTGAAGATTCACCTGAAAAACTTTAATTGTCAATTACACATCAGTGACTTTTATATTTAAAATCACAATCCTAAAACTTTCAAGCTTTTGGAAAACATTGGTTTGTGAACTTTTAACAAGATGCAAAGTGAAGAGTATTACATTTCCTCTGCAGAGGAAACCTCAATGTCCCCTATCACATTGGTGGCTCTTTATGAATAAGCAAGCTCATGTTGACAGCAATATTTACAATATTGGAATTTTCTGGCCTGCCCAAATAATATCCAGGAAGTTATGGCTATATAACTAATCTATGTCTTTCTTTTGTGTTTACATCTTGATAAAATTGCTAAATGATTAAACTGACAAATACAGATATTAATTATGAGGTAATGAAACCTCTTGAGTGCATCAGCAGTTCCTAGAGCACCTAACTTCCTGATGGATTAAAGACAAATTATTCAGTCTTGTTGTGTTCTCATGAAGTTGTCCTGTACACAGCTCTTTATTAAAAGAGTAATTTGTCTTCCACAATTAAATATAAGGGAAATTCCAGCAAAAGAGTACAAAGAATGAAAACTTTGTAGATACTTTTGAAGGAGTGGCCTGTGCACTTGTACTTTGATTTTCAAGTTTAGGCAGTGTTCAGAAGGTTGGCAGCCAGGTTGATTCACTGGGGTTTTTTTGTGTGCTTAATGTCCTAGGAATTGAACTTAAGACTTGTTATTAATACTTGCTTTATGTAGCTGTCACCCAGAGGAACAAAAAACAAAAAAAGAGGAAGCTGCTGGTGGATGTAGAGAAGGAGCTCAGCTGCCACACCATTTACAAGCAGATCACCAACTACACAGACCTCCTGGGCACACTGGACCTCGCTCCCCCAACCAAGAAAATGATGATGTGGAAGGAGTGGGGAGCTGTGGATAAACTCCTGTCCCATTCTTCACAGCCTATGCTTCATGCTCAGCTGCAAAAGGTAAAGATCAGTTCCTTGTGGGGTCTATGCCACTGTGTAGGTCCCAGGATTTTTGCAGAGCTGGGATCTGACTGAGAGAGGTTTTGCAGACTCTGTTTGATCCGAACTTGGAGCTGACTGCAGGTGTGCACTGAGCATTGCTCTGCAGATTGGTCCACTGGACACCTGATGGTGTCCACACTCACCACTAATTGTTTCTTCTGTGGGGTCACAGCCTTAACCTTCTGTGCTCCAACAAGTGAAAAATTACAAAAGGAACACGAGAGTTGATGTTTCATTTCACACACTGGTGCCTGACTGATCTTATACTGAGACACAATATTTTACTTTTCTGTCCATTTCTTTTATACTTTCTCCTTTGTTGTATTGTTTTCTGGTTTATTTATTCTTTGTAATAAATTTGAGATATCTTTTGTTTATATTTACTTTAAAGGTATGTCATTCATTATTAGTGGAATATTGCTGATGGATTTGGAAGGGTTCACTGCAGCAGTGCAGCTTCACCACTTAGAGTCCAGCTGCAGAATTACAACTTGCTCTTTAAGAAGATGAAAACTGCAGATGTTTCTTTCTTTCATCCTTCCTTACTGGCTGAAAATGATTCAAGCTGCTCATAAGATGTTTTTTTCATGGAATTCATGTTGGAGCTGCAGAAGGCTATTGCTTAAAAACAAACAAAAAAAAAATTGCAAATTTTCAGCATGACCTAATTATAATACTGAAATTCTGGGTTGCAGTCATTAACATACAGCTCATATTCATATTTTGCGTTGATGTTTGTAAATAATCTGACATGATATTCTGAAAGCAAACAAAAAACTATTATTTTCAGATGTTTGAAAAATGCTTAAAGACTGACAAATGTAAGATGAGAGCAAATGGAATACACAGGATGTCTGAAATGAAAGAAATGGGAAAAGAGCAAGATATTACAGGTAATATTTTAATTCTATTGTGCAGAATTAGCTGTTAGAGAGTATTTTATATTCTACATAATGTTTAAGACACACAAGAGGTGTTGATGTGCAGTATTATGCAAATTACTACTTTGCTGTTCTTTTGTTTCTTAAAAATTAAATGAAATCCAAGTCTTTTCTTCCATGTGGCATAAGAAGATATTTTTGGTTTCATCTTTGGTTTCTCTAATTATCTCTGAAACTGCAGATTTGGGTAATGTTGCTTGTGGGGTTTTTTTCAATATAATTTTAAAAAATAGCTTCCTACTTATTCTAAGCTTAATCAAACTCCTTTCCAAAATTCCAAATTAATGTAAATAGTCCTACTTGTATCTGGAAGATGTGTTTGGTTAATGTCAGGCAAGAAGAAATGTTCCATTTTAGATCTTCTGAGAAGGATGTATCCACTTTCATTCTTTTGCTCTGCTGGGAACCTAACCTACCTCAAAAATTAATTAACAAACCCACCTCCAGTGAGTCCATAAAGGTCAATTTTCAGAAAAGGAAAACCTGCCTTGGAAGGTTCTTCTTCCATGCTCCTGTTGGGACTAATGTTTCTTCAATATTTGCTTATTCTGGCTCTTCCTCTCAAAGACTCTGAACTTGTGTGTAATTTTTGGTTTTCAGTGTTTTGTTGTTTTTTTTAAGGATGGTGATTCACAGTAATTTCCTCTTCAACCTTGGTTTTCTATTAATACAGAGATGCTGCCAATAGAAGAGCCAAGTTACCTGCAGGAGCCAGCTCATTCCGAGACTGGGAGCAAAATTAGAAATGATTCCTTTATGTTGACATCACAGAATGACAGAAATGAAACCAATGAGAACTGTGGTGAAATTATAGTGAGCAGTTTTCCTCAGTTTTAGAGACTTAAGTGTGCCTATTGGTTTCACTTTTTGCTAAGGTTCCATTTAAAACATGTTAAGAAATTACGAATGTTTGGAAAGGATGCTAAAAACAGTCAACAGAGCATTAAGTAGCTGGTGTGATGAAAGTTTATTTATAATTTGGTAAACTCACATAACGAATGAATGATGAATTAAAATGTTTATTCATCAGCATAGATTACAGTTTAATCACCAAGTATAAATGAGAGCTTAATATTAAATATGAAATATTGTACTGAAGAGACAAATATAATCTTTATAAAGGATAAAACTTACATTTTGTGTGTCATGTTGAGGAAATCCTTAAGCAATATCTCTTCCATCTTCACTTCTGCTAAAGGGCATTCTTTAGGGAATATGAGGCTTATTGATGTTGAAAATGATGAAATTGGAGCTAGTGGCAGCAGAAAATGTGTGCTCCATGCCTGAACTCTGCCCGTAGGTTTAGATTCATCTGTAGATAAATTCTGCAGCAAGGTCCTTCCCTGTATCAGGAAAGACATGGCAGAAATAGCAGCTATTAACTCATTTTGAAGAACTTGATTACAATAAATTCTTTGAGCAGAACTGTGTGAGGAGAATTGCACGAAATGTGTGCAGAAATGGTCAGGCCTAGTGATTGGTTTTTTTGTGTTCACAGGAGGATGGAGCAGCTTTCTCCGAGAGCTCAAAAAATTCCCTGGGCCAGGAAGCTGAAACACAGCAGGTGGAAGTGCCAGAGGTGTGTGTCCCAAGCTGATGGCCCTGGCTTGTTTTAGAAGAGAANAAAAAAAAAAAAAAAAAAAAAAAAAAAAAAAAAAAAAAAAAAAAAAAAAAAAAAAAAAAAAAAAAGCATCATGAACTTACAGGGAGTTTTGCTTCCTGTAAGAAGGAAATAATTCCAACCTTGCTGGTTCTGAGGATGTTCAGGTACTCTGAAAGCTGCACCTGAGCTGTCTCTGTAGCACAAAGCACACAGGTCCCATTCTTTCCTTTGTTTCACACAGCCTTGTGTGAACAAGGAAGTGTCAGAGGCTTTAGATTCCCTGAGTTTGGCCATCCAGATATCCAGCTCTATCTGGATTTTCAGCCAGGCTGGAACTCCTGTCCTTTTTCTCGTGGTGTGTGACTTTTTACACACTCTGACTAACCTTCTGTTTACTTCCTCCCAAGGAGCAAACACCAACCAGGAAAGACAATCAAGAAATAAGATGGGGCAAAAGAACTCTTTGGTTACAAAAAACTTTACAGGTACCAGTGCTGGATTTTGTTATTAGATACCAAAAGCTGGTGTTGATTTCAGATGGACCATGTTAGAAAAACTCTTCCTTCTACTGTCCATTGTGTCTCTGCCTCTCACTTGCAGCATGTGGTTTTTTTTTTTGGTATTTCTGTGGAAAATCACAATTCTGGGTGCTTGATGTATGATGTTCCTTTCCATGGCAGCTGGAATTACTAGAATTTTCTGAATGCTCTTTTTTTAAATGTATTTCAAAGGTTCTGTGCAAATAGAAACAAATATTTACAGCCTTTAAAAAACAAGAGAACTCTGAAACCAAAGAACTACTCAAGGATATTTATTGTTATAAATCACAAAGAATGATGGAAGCACTCCACTGGTATAATGGAATTCTAGATGGAATTGTAGATTTTAGTAACAGACATAAGTACCAACACTATTATGGCATTAAAATGTTAAGAGTCACTTCTATAAACACAGATGGAAGACAGCCAGAGAGGTTGTGAACTCCCCATCTCTGGAATTGTTCAAGGCCGGGTTGGATGGGGCTTGGAACAACCTTGTCTTGTTGGAGGTATCCAGGGTGGGGGGATGAGATGGTCTTTAAGGTCCCTACCAACCCAAGCCAGTGTGTGCTTCCAGGATTCTATGGAGATTGGATCCTATTTGAAGCATTCACCAGATATTCCCTCTATGCAGTGCTCTCTGCTTGTGCTCCAGTTTTACTGGTGGAGAAGCTGACTGAGTGATTTCTCATTTCCCTCACGCAGCAACTGAAGACATCAGGCGTGTGTTCCTTCAGTTTTCGGGAGCTCTGCCGGAGAAACAACCGCAAAGAAGCTGCAGCCACATTTTACATCTTCCTGGTGCTGAGGAAGCAGCAGGTCCTCAAGCTGCAGCAGCTCGAGCCCTTTGCTGACCTCACAGCCACTGCTGGGCCCATGTTTGACAAGATCAGATAAACTGATCAAAATACAGTTTAGGTTGCACTTTCCAGCAAATAGTTTTCCTGGAAAAAGGATGGAATGTCTTGTCAAGTTGTGGGAGATGAGCAGAGCTTCCTGTCCTCTACACCACGCAGTAATGGCTTGTGCAGGGGTCCTGCCCCAGGTGATCACTGCAGGGCTTATTATTAATATTTATAGTTATATGATTACTTATATGATAGTTATACAATATGTTAATAAAATACCACTAAAATATATATTCTACATAAGAGATTTACATTGTGAAGGATTTTTATAAAAAGTCCTCAAAGGAATTTTATGAAGGTCCTTGGAGGGTTTTTTAAAAAGTCCTTCAAAACCTTTCTCAAGAGATTACCTTTGGAGCTTAAATTATTTTTGACAAGGCCTGTGTCTGTTAATTCTCTAATACCATCAATAAGAGTTATCTGTTTACTTTCTGTAGCAAAAAAAAAAAAAAAAAAAAAAAAAAAAAAAAAAAAAAAAAAAGGTAGACTATTTAAAATTGTTTGTGTCAAAGAATATTCAATATTTCATATTTTAAGATCTAGCAGGGTACTGTCTCCAGCATTACTTTTGTGTGTTTAAGCAGACAGAAGTTATACTGGCCCTAGAAGAGTCCAGAAGTTGCAGCAAGAAATTCTATTTTCTATAAATCCTGCTTTTTCAGATTTCACAGAGCCTTTTAACTTATTAACACCTTTATTCATGTGTAGATCTACATAAAAATGGATGTTAATTGAAATATTATCAGTTCTTTGTATTTTTATCTAATTTAGGATAAATTTTATCTCGTTTACTGTCATTTTCTGAAGCTCTTGGTTTCTGGCTGCCTCCCACCTGGAGGAGGGATGGTTGTGCCCCACTCAGGTGTTTCTGTGCTGTGGGGACATCACTGTTCCTTCATGTGGAATCAATAAAAATCAGAAGATGTTTCCTTTGCTTGTTGGTATTTCTTCTGAAGGATCAAATCCTATGGGTTCATCTCAGAGTGAGTGACTTGGTGATTTTACCTTAAATGGGAAAGGATGGGTGATACTGTCACCTGACTTCCAGGTGTTCACTCACCTCAGTGACACCCCTGTTTGTCTGTGCTCACTGACGTGTGTGGTTCCTGTCCCACAGGATTCAGGGAGGTTTGTGTTTGAGGGTCTGATTAAGGGAATAAAAAGGCTTTAAAAGAGGTGAAGCCCCAGTGTGGGGCATGGGGTGGCCACTGGCTGTGGGGGTGTTCCATCTGAGTGTCCTTTCTGAACAGGAATTATTTGATTAAGTAAGTATTGGGCCTGTGCTGCTGTTCTCTGAGGGATTCCTTTTCTGGGTGTAAGGAAGAGAAAAGCATCCCTGTTTGGTAAAAACAGCTCAGTTTTCTGCAGAAGAAGCACCAGTTTTGGGTGGGAATAGGAGCATGGCTCAGGCCAAGACTGGAACCAAGGGCAGCTCATCTTTTCCTTACGGCAGGCCTGGCACTTCCAAAGCCAGGTGCTGACCTGGGAAAAGGGTTTGGGTTTGGTGAAAACCTCTCCCTCTTTCCCTGCAGCAGGCCCAGTCTCCCTGGAGTGGTGCTCCCACTCTTCAGGTCAGAGTATCCTGGGAGACCAAGCACAGCAGACTGCAGAGGGAAGGAGGAACCATTTTTCTTTCCCAAAAGCCATCAGGAATGACTCTGCATCTCACAGCAGAGCTGCTGCCTGTGCCACATGGTCAGAGCTGATCCAGTGGCAGCAGCTGTGATAACTCATTAATTTTCCTTTCAAGGAGAGAGGCTGTGCGTTGGATTCACCGGGAAAGAGGGAAACAAAAGGCAGCTGGAGGCGGGCAGGAATAAATGGGAGGCAGGAGATATATATATATATATATACACTGAAAACAGTCTGTGTGTTGGGATAAATGAAGTACAAATCATGCAGGAAATAGTGCTGGAAAAAAGACTGACATGTATTTACCAAACAGGTTTGTCAAAACTCTGGAATAACCCGGGGGCGTGACAAAGGGAGCTGGGAACGTCTGGGAAGCACAATGGGCCTCGGGTCCAGACCCAATTTGGGTGCAGGTTCTACTGTGGCTGTGAATATTTCCCACATTAACATTTCCCTCCATAAACCCGTATGTGAATCCACCCAGGCTGGATGCTGTGTGGATGTTTGCAGCACAGGCACATGTGCATCTCTGACGCTCCTGGTCCCCACGGGGGTGTCCGCAGCCGACCTTGGGCGCTCGTGGCCGCGGGCACGGAGCTCCCCAGGAGCCGGTGCCCGGCTGCTCCCCGCGCAGGCTGCAGGACGTGGCGCGGGGGCTCCCGAGACGTTTCCCCAGCAAATCATTTGGGAAGGTTGATCTTGACAGTTACAGCAGGAAGCGTGTGGGAAGTGCCATGAGTAACCGGGCTGTGCTGGAGAACGGGACGTGCCGTGCCGAGCCGTGCCGGCCGTCAGCCTCATCTCCCAAACCTCCCCGACGCCCGTCACAGCTCGGGACAGCAGCTCGGGGTGGCTGCTGCTGCTTGTGCGCCCCAGCCCCGGCGATTAGGGCTGAGCCAGAGGGATTGAAATGGGGCACAGAATTCCGGTTATTTAATGACTTTACTTTATGAAAGTGCGTCACTAACTAGAGGCAGGGATCTCCTCACAGCTGGACTGCTTTAAATGAAAACTCCAACGCTGGGGGGACTCCAAGGGCCGGGTGGCTGCAGCGCGGGGCCGATCCGGCTCCCCGCTCCTCTTCCTCCTCCTCCTCCGGGGTTACGCGGGGCGAGGAGCCCGGGCCACCGGGCGCAGGGTGCACCCGGCCCGCGGGGTTTCGCAGACGGGGAGGAACCCCAAAACCCGGCTGGTTTCTTTTTTTTTGAGGTTGTTGTGCCGCTCCGGCAGAGGGGAGTTGCCATAGAAACGGGGGGAAACCCGGCGGTGGGAGAGAGAGGGGGGAGGCACCCGCGGCGCCGTCGCTTTAAGATCGCAGAGGAGGGAGCAAATTACGCAGCTGCACGGCTCATCCCTCCCTCTCGCCCTCCCTTCTCCATCCATCCTTCCCTCCCTCCCTTCGCCATCCCTCCCTCCTCCATCCCTCCCTCATCCCTCCCTCATCCCTCCAGCGCTCCCGGCCGCCCCGCCGCACCCATGGAGGCCGGCGCAGGTGATGGAGGCAGGGGAGGGCTCGGGGATGCGGGATGGGGCGGGGGGCACCGCACCGGGCACCGCACCGGGCACCGCACCGGGCACCGCACCGGGTACCCCACCGGGCCCCGCGCCGCCGCCGCTCACCGTCCGCTCTCTCCCTTCCCCGGCAGGTCGCTGAGCCCCGAACCCCGGCGCTGCCGCCCCCGACATCGGCGGGGCCCCGCGCAGGTGAGCGGTGCGGGGCGCGGTGCGGGGGGCGCGGTGCGGGGCCCCGCGGCCGCCGTGACTCATCCCTTTCTGCCTGCGGATTCGGGGTGGGGGAGGCGGGGGGCGCAGCCGGGTCTGCCAGCGCCGCTCCGCATCGGGGGGCGGGAGCGGGGGGGTTCCCGGGGCGCAGGGTGCTCGGGGCGGGTCACGCATCGGGCCCGCAGCACACCCGCATTGCGTGTGCCAGACCCCCGCGGCACACACCAGACCCGTACTGCTGCATGCGCTGGTCCCCTTTGGCACGCACTGCACCCACGTCTGGTTTATCAGACCCATATCTTATGCACCCTGACCCACACTGCAAACCCACCTGGACCCCCACCACACCCAGCAGTCTTGCTTCCCAGCCCTGGACCCATGCGACTTGCACTAGACCCACAGAGCAGCATCAGCCACGCATTGTACTCACCAAACCTGTACTGCACTCGCCAGACCCACATTTCAAGTATCTGACCCACTTCACGTGCACCAGACCCTCCCTGCATGCCCCAGTCCCTCACCACACCAGACCCTTATCTCATTGCACCAGACCCTCCTCTGTGCAGGGAGGGGCACATGCATCAGACCCTCCCTGCAAGCACCAGAGCCTCCCTGCACACCCCAGACCCACATCTCATGCACCAGACCCTCCCTGCATCCTCCAATCCCACGTCACATGGATCAGACCCACATCACATGCACCAGACCCTCCCTGCATCCTCCAATCCCACGTCACATGGATCAGACCCACATCACATGCACCAGACCATCCCTGCACACCCCAAACCCTCCCTGCACGCCCCAAACCCACATCTCATGCACCAGACTCTGCCTTCTAGCGCCAGCCCCACATCTCGTGCAGCATCCCAAAGTGTCTCCGGCACCATGGAGTGTTGCAGGAGCTGGGGCTGCTCTGCGGTTGGCATTTTATTATTTAATGGCTTCATGCTCCATCTCCAAAGGGACACAGGAACACCCAAGCGGGTTGATGAGTCGGGTGCTCTGTTGTCTCCTCCCCACAAGGTCAGCGCTGTGGCTGTCACACAGAACCCACTGCTGGGTGCCTGTTCTGCTTAAAAATCCCAGTGTTTCCACCTCCTCTGGGCAACAGGCACGTTGTGCTATGACCGTGTTCCAGAAGATGCAAATCCTGGTGTCCAGGGTCCCAGGGTGGGGGTCAGAGGGGCAGTGCCTGTGCTCCCATTTGGAAGTGCTGCAGCGGGCTGAGGCAGGAGATGTGTGTGGTTAAATTAGGCCATTCCAGCGGTGTGGAGACCAGGGCTAATCCCTCGGCACCGCCGTCATTCCCAGCCCTGGCTCAAGGTGGATGGTGGCTAGGGGAGACCTGCTTCCGCCGCGCCGAGCCACGGAGGGGAGGCGGAGCTGTTGCACTGGAAGCTGGGGTTGTCTTCCAGGTTTTTGCCTTTGTATCTCAAAGGAGTGGGCTGTTCCTTCTGCCTCACACAGCTCAGAGCACCTCTGCAGGATGGGCTGTGCAGTGGGATGGCACCTCCATCCCATCCTGCTGACATTCCTGGCTTGGGGTGACACCACAGGGTCTGCATCCTGGGTGTCCCACTCCTGTTCTCATGCTGCTACAGCGCTTGTCATGGAGCTCTTTTCCCATTTCCCTTTGGCTCCAGAGTCCCCAGTGAGAGCCCAGCCTTTGCCCTCTGGTCAAGCACCTTATTTTTAACTAATGAGGGCTGGGAATTGCCACCTCTCCATTTGGAGTTGCAGCCAGGTCAGCTGGAAAAATGATGAGCTGCATAACCCGAGCTTTCCAAATGGTGTCTGTTTTCCTGTAATCTCTGGATGTCAACTCAGCGTTTTATAACAAACAGGAGAATAAAAGGAGATGCTCCTGCCTTTTGGAATGGGATACAGCCTCTCTTAGCAGCATTGATTTTTCTGGTGGTGTTGCATAAACACTCCCTGGGGTTTGTCTCTGCTTGTGCCCCCAGCACTCGGCTCTGCCCTGAGCTGGATTTAGTGGTGGCTTGGGCAGTCCTGGGTAAGGAGTTGGATTTGAAGGTATTAAAGGTATTTTCCTACCTAAATGGGTCTGTGACTCCATGATCTCCCTCTGCCTGGGACCCAGGTGAAGCTTGGGGATGAACCCATCTGCATTGGAGCAGAGGCTCCCAGTCTCTGGAGATATTGTCACATCCTTGTAATCTTCTTGGAGCAAAAGCAAAGCAATCCCTGTATCCCAAAAATCCCCTCTGGCAGGAGGAGGACATAGGCATGGATGTTTGTCCCCAGCTGCACAGGTGGTGGCCCCGGTGCTGACCCCCTCCTGCACCAGGACTTCTGCCACCCCTGGCTGCTGAATCCTGCTCTTTCCCATTGTGACCCAGCTGTATCCCAGTCCCTTTTCCAGTGCAAGCAGCCCTGGCCTTGCCACTGTCCAGGAGCAAGGGCTCTGCCCCACATCAGCTGCTGGTTGTTGGCCACATCCAGCACTTTGGTTTTTTGTAGAGTGTAGAAAAGCAGAGCCGGTGTCAGGAAGGCAGGGTAGGTCCTTGAGAGCCCTTTTTGTCCCCTGGGAAAACAGAACTGTGGCTTCCCTCTCTGTGTTCTCTCTGCTTTTAATCTTGTTCATCCTGGGAGGCTGAAGATCTCCCAGGGGACCCATGGGGACACCATGGCTCCTCTCCCAGGTCTCTGCAGTGGGTGAAGCTGCTCTCAGACGCTTGGGCTCCGTGCCACCATTGCAAAAGATCCCTCACACAGGATGTGCCAAGGGAAACACAGGAATCCGGCAGCAGGCAGGATGATGGGAGCCTCGACAAAGGAAGCAGCGAGCGAGAAATCCAGGGAAATGTGGCAGCTGCTGGCACAGCAGTGTTGTGCTGAGGGTTGGCACTGGCAGTGAGCTGCAGGCTCTCACACCTTCTCCCATGTTCCCCGTGGGGATGGGGTGAGCTGGAAGCAGCTGGATCCCTCTGAATCCCACAGAAGCTGAGCTTTGGAAGCTGATGGGAGCAAACTCTTGAGCCTGCAGCCATGAAACCCTCAGAGGAACCATTGGAGGCTTCACTGAGCCAGTGATGAGGGTTTCTTCCGAGGTTCTGTGTCCCTGTTTCCCATGTGAGGAACATCTAGGAAGGGCCATGCCTGCCCAGCCTAATTTGTCCATTACTGGTGCAGCCAGGAGATCTAGCAAGGAGTGGGGAGTGGCAGGATTTGAGGCAAAGAAGCATCTCTGTGGGGCAGTGATCCAGCTGAGCCTGGGGAAATCTTCCTGTGGGGCACCGGCCTGAGCCCCCACTCTGTCACTGCTCTGTCACTGCTCTGCCATCCATCACTGTCCCAGTGTGATCAGCAGTTCAACAGGAGCTGGGGACCCACCAGAAGATGAGCCCTGTGGTGTCACCCCCCCCGGGGCAGTGGCAGTGTAGGGACTTGTCCTGATTCTGCATCCCAGCCATTTGTGGTGGATCTGCTGCAGCTCCAGCTGTTTCCTTATCAAGGCCCATTGCTTTTATTTATCAGGAATTCTCCAGGCTAATTCCAGCGCATGGAACAAACGCTGGTTTGTGCTGTTTGTAAAAGCTCTGCCCTTCTGCTCCACACGAGGAGTTTGGCTGTCGGCAGCACCAGCTACACGCTGGTCTTTGCAATGGGCAGTGGCCACCCTGCTCAGCCCTCGAGCTGCATTTTAGGGGATTTGCAGGGTGCTGGACCACAGGCAGGTGGTTTGCAGGACAGTCTCTGGATCTGGTGTAAGTTGGAGTGTCAGACCCTGGCCCATGCTGGCATTCCCAGGCAGGAGGGGTAGACACAGGTCTGTGCTGAGCAGGGTCCTACTGCTCCCCAGTATGGAGACAAGGCAGTGCCCCCCAAATCACCTTTGTCTTGGTCCCCTGCTGTGCAGACAGGCTGAGAGAGCTGGTAGAGAACAGAAGGCTCTGATGAGACCTCAAGAGCCTCTTGCAGTGCCTAAAGGGGTTCTGAGAGAGCTGGAAAGAGGCTTTGGACAAGGACACAGAGTGGCAAGACACAGGGAATGGTTTCCCACTGCCAGAGGGCAGAGTTAGATGGGATATTTGGAAAAAAATCTTCTCTGTGAGGGTGGTGAGGCCCTGGCACAGGTTGCCCAGAGAAGCTGTGGATGCCCCATCCTTGGAAATGTTCAAGGCCAGGTTGGACAGGGCTTTGAACGACCTGGGAGAGTGGAAGGTGTCCCTGTCCATGGAAGAGGGCTGGAATGAGAATGGTCTTCAAGGTCCCTTCCAACCCAACCCATTCTGTCTTTTTAACCCCCTGCTATGGGCAGAGTTGCCACCCACTAGACCAGGGTTAATCCTGGATTTCCCCTTGTTTTCCTGGAGGGGCTCCATTGGTGCTGCAACTCCTCATCCTGGTCCATTTGATGGGAGTAATTCTGAGTGCAGATCTGTGATTTCCCCTGCCTTTAGTAGCCATGTACCATGTGGGAAGGTGTGTGTTCAGCTTTGGTGCTGGATCTGCCCACCCTCCCTGTCCTGGGCTACCTGTGGGCACAGTGAGGCCTCCTGGGGAAGACCAAAGTGACCCATTGATCCTTTGGGAATAATGACAATTTATTATCACTGCTTAAATCCCAGACACCCTGGGTGCTGTGGGAGGCATCAAGGCTTGGCGTGGGCACCAGGCAAGTCTGCAGCAGTGGGAGGAGGAGGAGGAGGAGGAGGAGGAAATGAGGTCCCCAGACATGAGGCCAAATCCAGGTGTTCCCACAGAGTCATTCCAGGCTGCGGTGCTGGCAGCAGTGCCTGGGGTGTGGTGTGGGGTGCTCTCAGGAGCCCTGTGTGCTGGACACACACGTGTGCTGGTGTCAGGGGGGCACAGAGGGACCCCTGCACAGAGCAGTGTGGCACGAGGGTGACCTTGACATGAGTGGGGAAGATCCAGGTACAGCTGAGCTGATGATGGGCACCCCTGGGATAATACCATTTCCCACTGGACTGCAGGGCAGAGAGTGAGGAATCAACCCTCTCAAATCTCCCTAAATCCCTGCTCAGGAGCTGTTGGAGTCCAGGCTGTGCTGCAGCCCCGTGTGGCGCTGCTGGAGGGTGACAGAGAGTCCTGGAGGATGCTCCTGCCAGCCCGAGGCCACGCCGGCTCCTGGGGGATGCTGATTCACGCTGCTGCAGTAGCAGAGCTTGCTGCCCACTTGGGAGCAGTGATCCAGCAGGACAGAACTCTGCCTTCCCCTGCTCAGGTCATCTCCAGGCAAATCCATCCCAGGTGGGAGCAGCAGGATGCCCAAATCAATCTTGCAGCGTCCCAGGGGTGCTGGCACCCCTCTGTCATGGGGCACTGTTCCTGCTGGGACCTGGGACTTCACAGCATCAATGCTCTGGGATTTTTGGGGATCAGGGAGTAGCAAATCCTGGACAGAAGGAGGGACCTGAGCTGGCCAGGGTGGGCTTTGAGGTATTCTGGGAAAAAAAAATAGCCTGGGGGTGCAAATGTAGAAGGCTGCACTGGAGTGAGCTGGATGTGCCCCCCTTCCTGTTCTGCCTCCCCTGTTGTCCCACTCCTTGCACTCCCC